TACTTTACACGTGCATAATCTACATGGGGGTTAGGCATAAACCCCTGCAAACCTTCGCTTGACAGCGGATCTTCCTGTCGTTAACTCCTTGAATCTGTCCTCCAGCCCTGATCGGAGGCGCATCAAATCCGACCGGAGTTTAAACAATCAAACCGAACCCCAAAATTCTAAGCCTTAAGCCTTAGACCCCAAACCCTGCACCCTCAATTATACACCTTAAACCCTAAACCCTAAACCTCAAACCTCAGACCTTATGCGTTGAACTGTAAATCCCCTAAGCCTTAAGCGTAGTGGGATTCAAGGTACACAGGGTTTGCTGCACTTTTGACTTTGAGCATGAAGCCAGAACCCTAGACCCTAAACCCTAAACCGAACGCGAAACTCCAAACTCCAAACCCTACACCCTTCTTTCTTAGAACCTGAAGCCGGAACTCTAAACCCTAAACCCCAAACTAAACCCGCAACTCAACCTTCAACCCCCAAACCCTAAACTAAACCGTAGACCCTAAACCCGAAACTCAACCGTAAACCCTAAACCCTAAACTAAACCGTAAACCCTAAACCCTAAACTAAACCGTAAACCCTAAACCCTAAACTAAACCGTAAACCCTAAACCCTAAACTAAACCGTAGACCCTAAACCCTAAACTAAACCGTAGACCCTAAACCCTAAACTCAACCCTGCCTCCGAAGGAAACCCGGAAGGACCCAAGGCTTCCAGAAACAAGAACTCCTGCGAAGGAGCTGAACTTAAGTTGCCATAACCATAACCAGCGTAGATATAGATGTAGATATGAACATAGACATCGATGTAGAAATAGAAATATATATATATATATATATATGGATAAACACTTTGATGCAAACATAGATATCGAGATAGACATCGACATAATCATAGGTATGGATATGGATATGGATATCCATGTGTACATATGTGCAGAAGCCTGTAGATCTATCCGGTGTCAATCAAGGTCTATTTATTTCCTTACGATGCCCAGAAGAAGACTGCCTCCTCCCGTCAACCCTAAACCCTAAACCGCCCTCAACCCCTAAACCCTCAACCCTCAACCCTAAAACCCTAAACCCTAAACCCTCAACCCTAAAACCCTAAACCCTAAACCCTCAACCCTAAAACCCTAAACCCTAAACCCTAAAACCAAAAAACCCTCAACCCTCAACCCTAAACCCCAACCCCCTAAACCCTAAACCCCTGGCCTACTCCGTGTCTTTCGGTGATTGGCCACCGGGGCCGAAAGAGGCCGGCAAGCTGCGCCTCCGGCGGAAGTGGAATGTACGAGTTTGGCCTCAAAGGGGGTTTAGGGTTTAGGGTTTCGGGCTTAGGGTTTAGGGTTCAGGGTTTAGGGTTTAGGGTTTGGGGTTTAGGGTTTGGGGTTTAAGGTTTAGGGTTTAGGGTTTAGGCTTTAGGGCTTCTGGTTTAGGGTGTAGGGTCTAGGGCTTTAGGAAGCATGAGGGTTTAGGGTGTAGGGTCTAGGGTTTTAGGAAGCTCTACATGACTATGTAGTAACAACACCCCGAGCCCGAGTACTAGACCCGAAACCCGGTGACATTAACTGTGCCTCAAGGCTCCAGAGGTTGCTTAATCGATGCTGGGCTTCAAATGTCAAGCTTAGCGCAAAAGACTTGGGTGTCAAAGCTTCAGTGCCTTGGGTCTAGCGATTCAAGGGTGTCAGGCCTCAAAACACCTAGGTCCACCCCAAACCCGTAAACTCCAAGCTTGCATTCAGCGTAGTTTAGGGCTCAGGGGGTTTAGGGTTCAATTTTTTTCTGGAGCCCTTTTCCAACTGCACCAGGTAGCTGAAACTCCCGCCCGAGAGGAGCCGATGTGACGGCCAGGAACCCAAGGGAACCCACAATCCGTTGGTTCGGCTCAAAACCCTAAACCCTAAACCCTGAACCCTAAACCCTAAACCCTGAACCCTAAACCCTAAGCCCAAAACCCTAAACCCTAAACCCCGAACCCTAAAAGAGTTCTGAGCCCGGGAATGAATTCCGGGTACGCGTCGTTCGTGGTTCGGCTGTCAGGTATGTACCCAGCAGGAGCGACAAGCATAAACCCTAATCTCAACATGAAGTGGCCATCGTACGGGCTAAGTATAGTGTTCTGGGTTGAAGTATACTACTACAAAATACGCAACCCTACTGAATAGTCTTGGTAAACAAAACACGTTGGTTGCGTCTTGGTTCAGGATCGGCTTCCGGCTGCTGCAAAGGCCAGTTTGGCTTCTGGAAGCTTCCCCCCTAGACTTAGACCCTCAACTCCAAACCCCAATCCCCCTAAACCCCTGGATCTGAATAGCCTAAACCCTAAACCCCTTAACCCTTGAATCTTAGTGGCTGAAACCCTAAACGCCCTAAACCCCTTGGATCTTACCAGCCTAAACCCTAAACCCCTGAACCCTTGGATCTGAATAGCCAAAACCCTAAACCCCTTAACCCTTGGATCTTAATAGCCTAAACCCCAATCCCCCTGAACCCTTGGATCTGAATAGCCTAAACCCTAAACCCCTAAACCCTTGGATCCTAGTGGCTTAAACCCTAAACGCCCTAAACCCTTGGATCTTACCAGCCTAAACCCTAAACTCCCTAACCCTTGGATCTTAATAGCCTAAACCCTAAACTCCCTAAATTTTTTGGATCTTTATAGCCTAAACCCTAAACCCCCTAAACTTTTTGGATCTTAAGGTCTGGGGTTCGCAGTTTCAAGCGCAGCTTTCGCCTTGACTTCCGTGAAGTCCTCGCGGCTGGAGCCTGCCGGCCCAGGAATTGGGCCAAAACCCTTATAGATGTTATAAATTAGGGTTTAGGGTTTAGGGTTTAGGGTTTAGGGTTTAGGAATTACACAATGCATATTACATTCTTTTACATATTGTATGTTATATGCTATATTCTAGAGTGTCTGTTAGATACTACAGTATACCGTATTATTATACTATATTGAATCCAAATCCGTGCCGTCCTCACCCAGGGTTCGCTAGATCTGATCTAGAAAACTGGAAGTGCCAATGTCACTTTGGAACTTGGGAGTTGTGGGGACCGCCGAACTGCATCTCACCTGCATATGCTAATGCGAGCGCTCTCCTAAGCCCTAAACCCTAAACCCTCTGCATTTATAGGCGCGCATCCTCAAAAACACATAATTACACACGCACTCAATATGCAGGCACACGTTAGTGTGCTCATAAACATATGCAATCACATATGCAAACACATAATGCAAATACATGCGTGTACATGCACATGCACAAATTTCGCGCATGCAGATTTGGCAAATATGCGCGGGGACACATTCATCCTGAGCACTGAGCTTGAAGCAGCAAGTCGTGCAAACAGCTGACCGTTTAAGGCCTCCGGTTTTTATCTTACATATCGCTCGGCCTGTTCTCGGCCTGTTCGAAGTTTCTCCAGAGTACAGGGTTGGGTGTTAGGGCATTCGGGTGCGACATCTGGAAATGACAGAAAAGGCAAAACAAGAAAGGATTCGGTGCAGTGCTGAAGCCCTAAACTCCCTCAACCCTCAGCCCTAAATTGCATGTGTCGTGGCTTGGGTTTAGCAGAGCTTGGGGCGTGCGAGGATTGGGCTTCGTGGTGACGCGATGCAGCGATTTTTCGCGCGGCGATCAGGCCAGTCCATGATGCTGCAGCCACTCGTCCTTAGCAGGACCAACAACAAATAGGATGAGGCCTGCACACTGAGCTGTACTTGCGGCATCGTGGCCATTCTAAGGTCCTACTTGCGATTAGGTGTTCGGCTTGTTGGGTTCCGTCCTAGAAACAATCCTCGCATCGAAGCAGACAAGGAACCTCAATGCAGACCGCTTTGCCTGAAACGCCTCCACCTGAAATTTTTGCTCCATCTTGACGCAAGGCGGTGGAAAGCACTATTTTTTCAGTTGGAATTATGGAGAACACATGTGATCTGCAAGAGCTAGAACTTTCAGCACGAAGCCTTTGAGGCAGCACACGAAGCCGACAGCCTTGAAACCTCACTCCCTATCTTGCAATCTTGCGGCTGGTTTTGCTGCGGATCTGACACTGAAGAGCTTGGATTATTCAGGTGCTCTGTGTGGCATGTGGGGCTAAGGGTCCAGGATTTGGACCGGAGGGGCAGCCCAAAAACAAAAGCATGACAGGTTCAGGACTGTTTTTTGTTAGGCCGCAGCATCGTCACACACACCATGCTGCTGAACATCATGTGCTAAACCATAGAGCCGCAATACCCTTCGACACTCCGGCTGAGACTTATCACGCAATAAGTCCTCATAAGTCTGACTCATAAGTGACAAGAAGGTTTAATGTAGGGCTTGGGTGTAAACTTCCACAAGGGCACGTGAGCTTGGATGAACTGAAAGACTCGCGTGGCGACTTCCACAGAGTCTGGATTCTTGTCTGGATGCCAGCGGGCACGGACAGCCTGCATGCTAGCTTCATCCACAAGCTCAGCGGTTCGGTTCCGTGTGCATGAAGTGGAGGTGCAGCAAAACTCAAAATGAGGGGTTAAGGCTATGATAAACCTCAGAATCCTGAAGGCTGGACAAGGCACACCGGAGCTTAGGATTTTTGGCTTCGGGGCCCGTGGGAGTTAAGCACAAAGACTTTTTGTAGATCAAATGATCCCATACAAGCCTTGGCTTGCTGATGACATGCATTCTATGTCTGCAGCAGATTGTAGCTTGTTGTAGTGCCTCTAGGTGCAAAAACTGTAATCCTGGAAACCTCTTTACTGTCTTTGCCTGCTTGAATGACTCTATTCAGAAAGACGTACAACACCAATAGCACTCATAAATGGCTACCGAAGAACGCAAATAGTCCAGATGTTTGACACCTGACATGAGAACGACGGGAACGGCGTGAATAATGCCGACAACAAGACTACGAGAAAACCAAAGTTGAACTGTTACCGGCAGGAGCACCGCTAACTAGTGGCGGCTGGTGATGCTGCCACCCTGAACTCCAAACACCACCAAACGAGGCCTTCAAAGCTTTTTTCTGCTGGGAGAAGGGCTTCGACAAGAGACCGGCCATTTCACGCGCAATCTCCTCTCTAGCTTGGTTGTGGCTTCGCAATTATGGTTCACAAGACCTTTACTTAGCTTTACTGGAATTAGGCCCGGATCGCGTTGTTCGAGTTTCAGAAAATCCTTCGCGAGAGGATTCGCTTCACCGCCATAGACTTTAAACTTTCTGGTTGCTGCTAATTCCAAGAAAAAGTTGGAAAGGTTTGTCATGCGTCAGGCCAGCTTGTCGGGTTGCAAGTTTGACCGAGCAGGTACCGGAGCAAGACCCCAAACCCTAAACCCTAAACCCTGCTTCTGAAAGGCACTTGGCGTCTGCAGATATGCCGACCTGCAACCTGGTACTCTGGACTCCAGGCTCTGAAACATGCCTAGAACTCAGGACAAAGGATTCCACAAGGGTTTTGAGTTCATAAACACCACTTTCTCGAGGCAAGATCGGTTCTGTGTACCAGTCTCTCTTGTCCGTCTGAGTGAAAGCTTCCGGGACACCTGAAAATCTGGAGCCAGGATCTGGGTGAAGGGCGCAACTGTTGGAGTCACTCGTGCTGTGGGCCATCATCTGCGAGTCTACTGGAGGTTGGGGAAACGCAGGACTAGCCTCCAGTGGCAACTTAGCTCTTAGCAGAAAGCCTTCACAAACTGCTAAACGCCTCAAAACTCTGAAATGACAGGAAAATTCCACTAACCTCGAAAGGGAAAGCCACTAACCTAAACCCTAAACCCCACAAACCTCTAAAGTGAAAGCCACTAAACTTCAAGAAGCCACCAACTTCCAAACCCACCAAAGCCAGAGCCCTGACCAGCCCCCCATTTTCTGGGTTCTTGTCATGGGATTTCATTTTAAGTTGCCATAATTGGGATCTCTAGTAAATAATACGGATTCTTTATTATGGTAACTTGAATTAAACCCCAGAATAGGGATCTATAGTAAATAATACGGGTTCTTATTATGGTAACTTGAACTAAACCCCTTAACAAGAACCCAGTTTTGGTCCATTATGGGAACTTGAACTAAACCCATAAACCCAGAACCCTAAACCCTAAACCCTAAGATGGCAGGTTGGGTCCTCCTCGCCCTTGGCCACCTCCCGATCTTCTGCAGAACTCTCCGCATCTGCCGCAAGTGGTGTGGGGCGATCGGGCTCCTTTCGTCAGGCTTTAAGGTTTCGGGCCCGGTTGAGGGGTTGATGGGGTTTAAGGTTTTAGGGTTTCAGAGTTTAGGGTTTAAGGTTTTAGGGTTACAGAGTTTAGGATTTAGGGCTTTAGGGTTTCAGAGTTTAGGGTTTAGGGTTTTGGGGTTTAGGGCTTTAGGGTTTTAGGGTCATCTCAAGTGGAACATCAAGGTACGTATTCTCTATGTGATTGAGTGTTTGTTTACATAGGTAAATCAGTTTACGTGCTCCATGCCGTTCGATCCGAGTCCCACATATCTCTGCTTAGCTCGAGCTTTTGACATCTGTGCTTGTTGTCTCCAGATTGTAAGGCTCAGAGTTTGTGGGCATGGGAGTTTTCACCAAGTTTAGATTCAGGGAAGACTCCCATTTCGGCATATCCACGGTCCTTCATCGTGGAACCCTCGGAGGAAATTATCAACGTCCGAAAAATTATGTATCTCAGACTCTGTAGGAAACTCTATATATCGATAAACGCCCAAAGATGGAACCCGCTACACTTCGGGAACCAACAGACTCTTGCAAGCTCGTATCGACAACTCAGTGACGTCTCGGAAAAATCGATCGCACGTTGATGTTGCAGCTTCAGTGGACGAGGTCCCGAGCCCCCACTTGCAGAAATTTTCGCAACACTGCACTGAGATCCGTAGAACAAGCGCAAAGTTTGAAAAGCATCCAGCAGATTCTGAAAACACCTGTTTGACGTTACTGCGGCCATGTTACAGGCGGTGGAACTGGCCTCTCGACAAAGATGGCTCAGCTGGGACTTGCTGATGCTGCGTCAGGGGTGGAAAGTGAGGATTCTTGAAAACAAGAATGGCGGTGGCAACAGTGGTTAGATTCACTACACATGCTGATGCTGACATCACTGACCCTACACACAATACCGTCAAGATGAGCAGACCACTCAGTTCTGCCAGTAGGACCAAAATGCCAGAAAGAAGCAAACTCCACACGGAATAATAGTACCTTTAACAACGAACGAAGCACAAGTGTTACCATCGATCTTTTATTCAAAGGCTTTCCAGCATACTAGACCATACTAGACAACGGATAGCACCAACCTGCCCAACAACAACAGCAGCCCATGCTGCTAACAATACTGTAGCTGGTGCCTACGAAACGACGACGAACATGACGACGATGAGTACTACACTTCCACTGCTGCCACTGCTGCTGCCGTTGCTGCTGCAACTGCCACTGAAGGTTTATAAGTAACCACATCAACGTGCGTTGACGGATTGATGGATCCATCCATGTAAATATTGGTTGTTTGGCTTCCTATGTTTTAGAACAGGGACCGAGATAGTGAGTACACCCATGCGACTAGATTTGAATACACCGACAGACGAATAGATTGAGGTGCTGAACGGAATAATTAACAAACATGCATATGGAGCCATGCTGCTCCGGTGCTGGAGCAGTTGGCGGCGGTGGCTTGGGCTCCGCAGGTTTGGCGGGCTCCGCCTGTACCTCACAAAGCAGTGCTTGCAGGGCTTCAGGGTTTAAGGAAGCGCCTCGTATCTCAGGAATTTGCGGTTGTAAAACTCTCAACAGATACGGGTGAGAAACTTCGGATCTTGGAGCCATAATGAAGGCTCCACTCTGCCTCTGTGATACTGCAAGAAGAGATTTGGGGATGGCCGACTTGAACATGAACATGCAGATTGAAGTCATAAGAACTACGTCCCTACGTCACCGAATTGCCAATGCCACTCTAGCACTCTTGCTGTGACGAATGCTTTTACGGCGACAACGGCACGACTAATCTCCCGGCCGCTGCTGCTGCTACTACGCCAACGACTCCTACTATGACGACTACTCCTCCTCATGCTGCTCTTGCGGCTGCTGCGGTTTAGGGTTTAGGGTTTAGGGTTTAGGGTTTAGGGTTTAGGGTTTAGGGTTTAGGGGTTAGGGGTTTAGGGTTCTGGTGTGGCTGCTTCTGCCGCTCCTGCTCCGGCTCCAGCTCCCGCTCCTACTCCATGCTCCCTTCTCCCAACTGAAGATGCTACTCGTATGTAGGAACAAGGTCTATACATGAACATGTGTCTGTATATATATATATATAGGTATACACGTATAGTCTCTGTCGTAGATGTTTTTTTTATATGAGTGTTCTGCATATACGACAACATTTGTACAACTGAATGTAATGGGCCCCTAAACCCTAAACCCTAAACCCTAAACCCTAAACCCTAAACCCTTAATGGGCCTCGGGCTCCTCCTCGGCGTCCGCTTTTTGCTTCGAAGCGAACCTCTCGTTGGGTCGCAGCTTCTTCTTGCTTGGAGGTGCCTGCCACGCAGCAAGTATTCGGCTAAAAATGGAGAAAGATAATTAAGAAGTAGCGCGCCATAGCGTAATCCGAAGCTCCAAGAACTGAAGATTCTGCAAATCTTCTCGCGAATACGAGGCTTGTGGCCCCCTAGGCCAGCACATTGACGTTCGGGGTACTCTCATACTGTCCGAACCCCAAATCGGTCGTCCAGGACGCGACACGCAAGCAAACGCATGATAGGCTGGAGGCAGGATGCCTCCAACGCCGGCGCTTCGTGTCGCGGCGCTGCGAATTTTCCTCAGCAACAACGCTTTCATTGAGGCATAAACCTTAAATTGTATAGATCTCTTACTCTGAAGCAATCAAGAACCCTCTGTTGGGAACCCTTCCTTAGTTCTACAGAACTTCACCTTCACTGTCTTCCATGGTTTGGGCAATGTTTCCGGAAATACTAGGGTTTACCCTTGCCCTGGCGCTGGAAGAAGCATTCTCGGAACCTGATTGAGAAAGCCCCGCGTTTCTCCGGGAATCCCGACATACGACAGAAATTACCCTAAACCCTAAACCCTAAACTAACATGCCGTCATGCCACGCAGTTCTTCTTTGTCCGCTGACGGCTGTCTGATGCGCACATGCCTTGCTCGAGAAATGCTTCTACATGATAGCAATAAAGGGTTTAGGGTTCGAAACGAAACACGCTTATGCCCTGAGGCCACTGGCTGCCTTCGAGGCTGCTTGTCGCCAACAGCTATCCATCCACGTGAAGACTTGCCCATCGCCAGCTCAACGGCTTTAGCGCTGGCAAAGCGGACACAGCCAACTTTCTGTCCGTCATCCTGAGATTGCCGCATGATTCTATCGTACTACATGCACAGAACCCAAAAATTCTGAACCCTCAACCCCACAGTGTGCCCAAAGCCCGTCAGAGGTGCAAGTGCTTGGTGCGAAACCGCGTGCTAAGACGGACGACGGACAGACCATTCCCGACCTCACCGGAGGAGCCTTGGGATTTCAGAGTTCAGGTCTGGACCTATGCCTAAACACGACCTGAACCACTTCAAGCCTAAATCCTGCACCTTCGGCAGATGCCCCCAAGAAGAAGTATCCGAAGCCAAGGAAACCGCCGTTCCAGTCGTGAGCTTCGGTGGCCTTCAGCACAAGGTGCGCGTCAAGAACCCCCACGCCCGCGCAAACTCGAAATTTGCCTCGCAACACCCCGGAACCCCCCTAAACCCTAAACCCTAACGGAAACCCCGAAGTACTAGGCAGCTGCTGACATTTAGACCGGCAGCAGACTGGAAGCCCAAACGCACTTCCAGCACAGGGCCAAACCGCTTGAAGGCCTGGTGATAGTGGCAGTTTGAAAGGGTTCTACAATATTAACAGAATTGTATAAGTTCGTGCTGATTGTGATAGAGTTTGGGGTTGGGATTGCGGGCTTGGAGACCGAAATCCCAAACGCATCCTCACCCACTAAATCCCAAATCCTGAACCCCGAATGCCAGTGTCAGAAACTAGGCACTGTTGTATTTGGGCCCCCTACAATCCAAAACCTAAACCCTGAACCCTAAACTCAAACCTGAAAGCCCTCTGAGCTACGGCCTCAAACTCAAAGCCCCAGCTCCGAGCCCCAAGGCTCAACCTGCAACCCTGAAGGGTTCAGGGGGTTTAGGGTTTAAGGTTTCGGGTTTTGGGGGTTTAGGGTTTCGGGTTTAGGGTTTCGGGTTTCGGGTCAGATATAGGGTTCAAAGTCACCCAGACCATGCGCCCAGCCTGCTGCAAAGCAACCTTAGCCTTGCTCTCCCAGTCACCACCACTGGGAGCAAGCTCCTCATTTGCTGATAAAGGCTTTGTGCTCCGGTTTTGGTTGAGGTGTGATGATGCTTCACTGCTTGGGGCTTCAGGGCATGGGGCCAGTTTTGGAGTTAGGTCAGAGTGCAGCAGGTTGTGCATGCCGGGTTCGGGGTTAAGCTTTTTTTGGATCTCGGGTTGAGGAGCTTGGTCGGAAGCTTTGGGTCCTCCACCGGTAGCCATTTCAGCACTTGAAAGTTGAGGAATGCTCAAATTTGGTGTTGAGTAGATTTATTGGAGCTTTAGAAGAACTTACTTAGGCCGTGAAGCCACGACGCGTTTTGGGCTCCAGGTGCCTTGGGTTTAGGGTTTAGGGTTTTAGGGTTTAGGGTTTTAGGGTTTAGAGTTTAGGGGCCCGTCAGTCCCGGCCGCAACTGCAGTCATGAAGCCCGGACGTCTGCGTCTGGACACTCGACGACCAGCTTCTTTGTCTTGAAGCCGTACACAGAGTTCTCCTGTAGGTTCGAAATGCAACATGTCTCCCTTGTTATTACTGAATACTTTGGTGTAGGGTTCAGGTAATAACAGTTCATGCAGTGTCTGTGTGGCTTGCATTCGAATCTCTCGCGGTGAAACCGAAAGTCCTCAGATGACATGACAATCAACTTGAAATCAACATGACGACGAAAACGGCTATTGCCGAGAAGACGACTCACAATCTAAAAACCACAGCTTGTCCCTGAAGGCTCGATGCTTCCCTTGGGAGCGAACCCGTCGTCAGGATGAAGGATGTAAGACTGAATTGCATCTGTTTTCAGGAGCGACAGATTGCAAGCCCGGCTTGCGAACGGACTGCGGTCTTGGCCCGTAGGGTTTGAGTTATGCGAGTAACTAGCTTCATGAATCATGTCCATGTTATGTGATAGCACTTCCCACAGGGGCGAGCAAAAAAACAGTGCTTAAGGCGATGGGCCTGGGCTCGACGTTCAGTGTCATAACCCTTTCGGGTAGTTGTACAAATGCGGATCCTTGTTGAGGTCCTTTTTTGCAGAGTGACGTACGGTTTCTCACTTCGCCAATAAGCCAGGGAAATTTGAGGTCAAATTTTTGGATTACTACTATAGACTATAAGAGCCCATACGGTTTAAAGGTTGGGTATTGGAGAACTAAGGTACACAGGGACACTAGCTACCCATGGTAAATTTCATTTAAAGCTAAATA